AAAACTGAACAAGCTGTACCAACAGGTTTATTTTCCTCCAATTTCAGAGCAGAGGCAGATGCACTTCTAGTGATATGTTCTTTTCTTTAATGGACAATAGAACAGCAAATATAGCAGACTGGTCTTTCTGACTAATGCTATGCAAGTTCAACAAACAACTGTTAACCTAAAAGACAATCAGTTTGTAGACTTTTCCAAACAGTTGATTCACGTAGGCTCCTCCGTAGAACAGCATCTATTGAAGTGGATTTCAGGTCACTGTGGCTAGGAAGGCAATGAAATAGCGGACAGATTGGCCAGAAGCGGCAGTGACATGGTCCAATCAAGTTATGAACTGACCAATCAAGACACTAGGACAATACAATCTAGCATCCAAAAAATTTGGCTGCATACTAGGGCGGTACCGAATAGCGATTTTCACTATTCGGCCGAATACGAATAGCTGGACCAACTATTCGGCCGAATACGAATAGTGAATCATCATCATTAGGTGCTTTGCCGAGTGGCATAGGCGATTGTGCCTGGCCAAATTCTGCGATCTCCTGCAGCATGTATCAGTTCGTGTGCTGACACACCTTCATGCCATGCAACAAGACTGTCAAGAATCTTCTTTTGTTGCCTTCCTCTATCCCTCCTTCCACAGATCTTTCCAGTGGTCATCACATGTTCAACTTTCCCTCATAACATGGCCGAAAAATGATGACTGTCTCCTTCTGATGTCTGTGAGTAGTTTTCTTTTGCTGTCCAAGGTATTTTAATCATTGTTCTGTAAAACCACATCTCTGAGGCCTCAAGAAATTGTTTGCCTGCCTACCGATTGTCCAGGACTTACAGCCATATGTTAAAACTGGATGTATGTAGCAAGCAAGAATTCTTTTTCTAACCTTCAATGACAAAGATATATTGCATAAGATGTTCTTCATTTTATAAAATGCAGTTTTTGTCCGTCCTATTCTATTTCTTATTTCAGTAATGCATCTTCCATCTGATGTTATCCATGTTCCCAGATACTTAAATTTCTGTACTTGTCCCAAAATAAAACCATTGACTTTTATTACACATCTAGGAATAATTATTTTCTTTGATACCACCATTACTTCTGTCTTCCCACTATTCAAAATGAGGCCCATTCTTTCACTTTAGAATAGATCTAAAAAAAAAACATTCATTATGTCAAATGTACGTTGAAATGTTACTTTACAAAATGTAGTACAGAATAGTAAACATAAACATTTTATGATTTGCATCCTTCAGTCAGTCAGTCTGTGGTAACTAATACCTAGGAATGAAAGTATTCTTAGTTTAATAGCAAGTAACTTAACTTGTAAATTGTCACTGACAGCTTAGTTAATCCATGAAAGCGGCATTAGCTTTCAAAAAATAAAAATCGTTCCATGTTGTCAGCATTAAGGCAGCTTCTTGTCTCACTGAAGTTATTTCCAGCTGTACTAAACAGACGTTCACTTGGTATGCTCATAGGTGGTGCACAAAGATAACGTTTGACAGTATGAACCAAGATGGAAAATCTTGACATGTTTATTTTCAGCAAGTCCAGAAACGCGTGTAGGGTAACCACTATTCGTATTAGGCCAGACCGCAACTATTCGGCCGAATACCGAATAGTTATTAGGTCCACTATTCGGCCCCGAAGCGAATACGAAGCGAATATTCGGTACAGCCCTACTGCACACACACACACACACACACACACACACACACACACACACACACACACACACACACACACGCACACCGAATGTCCTCCTTTGGAGAAGGACAATGTGTTTCTTCAGACTAAGTATAGGGCACAACAGACTTCCCAACATTCGTTCAAACTTTTCAGTGCAGAAAACACGGAAACTTGTTCCTGCATCTTGCTCCCAGAAAATTGTAAGCGTGTGCTCCAACACTGTCAATTATATGCTGCGAACAGAGACGCACTCTGGCCTGTTCCAACCACAATGAAAACAAAACTGTATGGTAAACGGGTAGAAAAAAACTGCACGATAGCTTTCTTAAAGGCTACATGACATAGGTTTCTGACAGAAGTAATGACGAAGAAGAAGACTATCTAAATTTGGTACAAAAAAAATATGGTTAAAATAAAAAAGAACACAAACAATATATTTCACAATTTATTGCCTGGCATATTCCATTAAATCTCGCCAGGAGCATTACAACAGAATGTATATCAAGCTATAATAAAATGTCCACCTAGGAAACGCATTGCAGTAAATCGGGTTAAGAATACAGAATCTTCCTCCCCCTCCTCTTCTTCCTGGTACTGAATCAGACATCAACCTGAAATAATTGATGAAAGCGGCAATCACGTTGAACTGTAGACATTGAGATGGATTCGTGGGATCAAAATACCATAGACCGTGTTGCTTAGAGGGGGATGTTGGAAAGGGTGTGGGAATAAAGGAAAACATTATTGTAGATAGGTTGAGAACCAATGGTCTATGTGATGACAACAACGGTTTTGAAACTCCATGCTCTA